GGTTTTAAAGTCCCTTCCAACACAAACCAGTCTGTGCTTCTATAAAAAACCCCAAAACATCTCTAGACCTGCCCCAGAAAAGGTGAGTGAATGCTCCACATCCTCTGACTCAGAGAATAAAATAGCTCAAGACTTGGTTTCTGTGGTTTGTTCTGTTTTGTTGCTTTTCGTGGGCTTTTTTATGGGGGGTTGTCAAAAGTTTGACCATTCTGAGCTCTCAAAGGCGAGACAGCAGCACCATGGATGAATTTTCTCCCATCCCCAGGAATTCAGGCTGTCCCACAGGAGATGAGCCATGATAATGCCTGTACCTCAGGAAGATGCAGGATCTGGCACATTCCTACATGGCTGATGTAAGGAGATTGTTCTAAGTACAGGGTGCTGTGCCATAAACCTGCCCTGGGTGAGCATCTCAGAGCTGTTATTTTGCACACTGGCACCTTTGGGAGCTTGGCAAAGCAGCACTGAGGGCAATTCTGCAATTCAGCAGCACTGGCACACCTCTCCCACCTGCTGGGAGCCCCAGATGGTACCAAATCCCTCAGGTTTTTGTGCTCTCTTCATAAACTTCCCAGGAAACTCTTCCCAACCCCGAGCAACTGGATGGGTGGGCTGGGAGCTTGATTAGCTGGGAATGACCAGGTTTCATCATCCACCAGCTAGGAATGGTTTGGGAAGCCAGAGCTGTGGTGGAAAGGAGTGAAGGCACCAGGAAAACTGAGCATTAATGGCCTGACAGCAAATCCTGCAGAGGTTTTGCCTAGGAAAAGCATTTCCTGCAAGATGGTTGGGAGGCAGAGAGAAGCAGTGGAGGGGTTGAATCAGATGCAGGGCTGTCCTGCTGATTTGATTCTTGGGGTTTTAACCCTGTCACTGCAAATCAAACATATTTAAGTAGATAATCCAGTCATCACCAGAACATCAACACCTGGATGTTGGGCCTTAAAGCAGGGACAATTTAGGACACTGAGCATGTCATGGAATAGTCTGAGTCAAGGAAATGAGGTCTGGGAGAGAAACTTCTGATTTATAATTCAGCCCCAAACAAGGCAATAAATGTCCCAGCAGCAGCATCTCCAAAGAAGGGCTGTGCATGCCCTGCCAGACAGATGGTTAAAGATGACACTGCTACACTCCCAATTCCTTGGAAATCTGCTCTTTGGCCCTGTCTGGGTGAGCTCAGTGCTCAGCCCACCCTGCCTTAGCTCATCCAGGAAATGAGAAAAAAAACAAACACATCACTCCAGACCTTGGGCTGAGGCTGCAGCAGACCAAAAACCCAAACCCTGTTTTTGGTCTCCTCTCCTACTGAACCTTTCCATGAGGTTGGCAAACAGGGAGACACCAAGATCTTTAGGATCAGCCTTGACTGAGCTGCCTGTCAAGGGTTGTTGGGATCTTTAGCTTGCCACAGTAATCCCAAGGAAAGCTGGGAAGTCTCTTTTCCCAGCCCAGCAGTTGCAGAAGGAGTCAGGGCTCTTCATTTCTCAGTCTCAAGGTTGTTTATTGTTCCTTATCTATAAATTTCTTTCTCCTGTCCTGCTGAGGTCTGTCCAGCAGGACAGTCCAGGCACTCTGCCTGTCCCTGGGGTGGTGTTATGTCTTTATACTAAAAACTACGTGTACAATATTTTCAATTACTTCCCAATACCCATCACCTATGTTAGACAGTGAGCTTCTACTCCAAACCAATCTAAAAGTGCCAACATCACAGCAGAAGATGGAGGCCAAGAAGAAGAAGGGCTGGACGCACCCAGATCCCTCCATCTTGCCCCCATGGATCCTCATTCTAAAAACCCCAAAATCTACTTTTTCACCTTGTGATAAATTCACTATCATTCTACTCAATTTGTCGTGGCTTTCAGATCTTCATCTAAGGTTGGTAACTTGCACCACACAGGCATTTTTGGGCTCTGTGAGACCCTGGCAGGGCTCTTGGCTGCTCAGGACAGCCAGAGGGATGTCCTGGGTCCTGTCAAGGGTCTCTAGGTTTAGTTTCCAAAGGGAAGAAGCTTTTTGCCCTGCTGTGTGGAAGCAGCTTGCAGCCAGGGGCAGGAGGATTTCCTAAATTGTGGCCTCTGAGAGAGGAGAGTCTTGCTGGAGATCAGGAACCACCAGAGTCCTGTGCTCTGAGAGCCACCATTGCTCAATTCATGGCACCCCAAGGAGTGACCTCAGCTCCTCCTGAGCTAATTGGCCCTGGAAAGGAGGAGCTGTGCTTGCCCACATCAATTATGTGTGACTGCTCAAGGAGATCTTATCAGGGAGCATCTTCTCCTCTCATCTCACAGGTGAAAGCACAGAGGTCTGTGGGGCCTCTCCCAGACCTCACTGATGCTTGTTGGGAGCAGAACCACTGTGCATTTAATAGAAAATGCACCAGACAAGAAAGACATTTATAATCACAGACTTACGGAGGTGCTAAGGCTGGGAAAGACCTTGAAGATCATCAAGTCCAACAATCAACCCAGCACCACCACAGTGATCACCATTAAGCCATGTCCTCAAGGGCCACATCCACATGTTTTTGGTGATTTCACCGCTTCCCTGAGCAGCCCATTCCAATGCTCTACAACCATTTCCACGAAAAAAGTTTCCTAATATCCAATCTGAGCCTCCCCTGGCCCAACTTGGGGCTGTTTTCTCTCATCCTGTCCCTGTTCTCTGGGAGCACAGCCTGAGCCCTGCAGGCTCTTCCCCATCCTGGTAGGAGTTGTGCAGAGCCACAAGGGCCCCCTGAGCCTCCTTTGCTCCAGGCTGAGCCCCTTCCCAGCCCCCTCAGCCCCTCCTGGGGCTCCAGGCCCTTCCCCAGCTCCCTGAGCTGCTCCTCATCAGAAGCCCTCCCCAACTCTGCTGCCCTTTTGGGTTTAGGGTTGTCCCAACAAATTGCATGAAT